GATACGAATTTGATGGAAGCCGGAAGCAAGGTCTAGGGTGGTAAAATATTTACTCTTCCCTAACTGGTCGAGTATTTCAGATATTTGTGGGATAGGGTATGTTTCGCCTATGGTGATGTCATTTAGTTTACGATAATCTATTACTATTCGCCATTTGCGTTGGCCTTGAGAATCCAGCTTCTTGGGGACTATCCATATAGGTGAACTCCATGGAGATGATGAGGGTTCTATGATGTTGTCATCTAACATCTTATTGATCTGAGTTTCTACTTCTTTTTTATGGCATTCGGGGAAACGGTATGATTTAGTATGTACGGGCGTGTTATCGGTCGTTTTAATATTGTGTTCGAGGGCTGACGTGTATGTCAGATGGTCATCAGGAAGATGAAATATATCGGAGTATTGGGAGCAGAGCTCTTTGAGTGCGGATATTTCTTCCTGATTAAGGTGATCGGTTCTGAGGGATTTGATTACTTGATTTGATCGTTCAAGAGTCCCTTGGATGTCTGTATTGACTGGGAAGGAACTAATACATAATGGTTCTACATTTAATTTCAAGTTTGGTCTAACATGCGCGTAATTATCAGACGTATTAGCTATTGTAAGATTAATTCGATTATTATGTTTTATTTTGACAATACAGTTGGAAATTAATAGATCACTGGATAAGTGTTGGTCTGCTATAATTCCTTCCTTGAGATTGGTTTCTTGGACAGAGCATTCGATGACGGATTCGGTACGGGGTGGAATTATATAAAAGGGTTTGGAGAAGTGTAGTTTTACAATTTGGTTGCCGATTCTCAACACATCATTGGTGTAATCGATTTTGCAACCAAACGTAGTAAGGAAATCTGTACCGATGATGCCATCATAGGGTAGGTCGATATTTTTTACGACATGGAATTTAAAAGGAATGGACATCCTTTGGGATACTTTTAGTTTTAATTGGAAGTGACCTTCAGTGGTCGTTGGCTCATTGCCTGGGTCAATACCCTTGAGTTTGATTGGCTCTTTAATAAGCCTGGGAGGTTTACTAATAGTGGAATGTTTTAGTAAACAGATTGCCGAGCCGGAATCGACAAGTAAGGAGAGCGGTATTTCCGCTACAGGAGAATCCAGAAGGACATGGGGTAACAACCTTTTTGTTGTATCGATATTTATTTCGTAGATTTTAAGGTCATTGGATTGGGACATGTGATTGGTGTCGATTTTCGGTGATAGCCTCGAACGACACCGGGGCGAGACTTTCATTAGTTTAAAGGGTCATTTTCATCCTGGTGGTCGCTGTCAGGAGCATCATCATATTCATCTACGTGAGACACGCGATTAGGAAGAGGGTTGTTAGGGTTATCGTTAGATTTTTGATTGCGGCGATTATTATTAGTTATACGTAGTTCACAATCTTTAATGTCGTGTCCCGTGGCCTTGCAGTATCTGCAAAACGTTGACGATCCCGAGATATTAGGGGTGTTTTTATTATTCACGGTGAACGACGATTTTTTAGATTGTGAAGAGAAGTTATTAGAATTAGGTTTGTTGGACGACTTTTGATGGGGTTTAAATGTGCTGCTGGATTGTGCTTGGGAAGCATTTCTTTTGGCGAACTGACTATTCTGTATTTTCTCTTCAGACATAGCCAAATTTACAGCACTATTAAAGTTTTTAGGGTTACGGGCTCTGACCAAGTTTGAAATCCTCGGTAGTAGTCCCATGAGGAAATGATGTAAAGCAAGGTCCTCCATGGAGGCTATACGGCCAGGAATTTCTTTCTGTGGGTAATTAGCCAATGAGATCTCTGTGAGTAAGTGGAAAAGAGCAGTTTCGACTCGGAGGGAGAATTGACTTACCGTCTCGTGTGTGCCCTGTCTACTTTCTTGTAGTTCGGTTAATAGGTGTGTATAGTGTTTATGTTCACTGAATTGGGTTTTGAGAAATTCTTTTAATTGACACCAGTCGCTAAATTCCTTAATAGCACAGGTGGTTGCCGCTTTACCTTCTAAGGAGTTAATTATATATTTGAATAACATTGGTTTTTGGATGTCGGTAGCCAACTCCATGGCGTTTGTGCATTTAATAAGGAATGCATTTAGGTGTTCCCTACTCCCGTCGTATGGTTTAATGAATTTAAGTAAGGCATTGATATCCATTTCGAGGATTTTTGTCTTAGCCCTAGTAGTCCTAGAAGATGGTGATGGTTGTCGAGGTGCTTTACCTTTGGATTCTACGGATTCTTCAGACTTGTCGTAAGAGAACTCTTCGGTTTTAGCACTTAGCATAATTGCATTAAACTAGTCAAGGAAGCGAAGAGTTTCGCCAAATGTATTCAGGACTCTAATTCGATACGATAACAATGAAAAAGGTTTTGCATATATGCCAACGGAACTCTAAAAATAGAATTCAAAACAATGACCAAAGACTTACTGTATCGTTACTACTTGAGCAGCTGATAAGAGCGCGACGGCGACGGCGACGCTGACGGGGAACATTCCGAAGCACGATGTGTGGCGAATGACTGTCTCTCTCTCCGACAGGATATGTCGAAGGTCGAATTGAGTGGCTACCACTCAATGGAGAGACAGACAGGAGGTTTTAATGTATCCTTTAGTCACAGGACAAGGATAGGATTTTCACTTTACACAACACTGATTTTACTTCACAGGACACAGATTTTATTTTCACTTCACAGGTCACTGATATAGGATAATAGGCTCCCTTTGGACACTTTGTCTCAGGACTCGTAATATGGTTACGGAATTACGATTAGGAGTTTTCCAGGGTTTTACACGGGTAACACAGTGGGTGATAAGTTCACTTATCTGATTACACTTTTTGGGATGTTTCACGATTATTTGAGATCCGGCGCGAGTCTGCGGAACGGCACTGGATATTTCCGGATCCCACCGCTGCCACCAAAATGTTACGAGAGTCCTTTAGGATTTCTTTTTAAAAAAAAAACTAATTTTATATTAGAACTATTTTAATTAGTTAAAGGACTGAGTATACAACCGTACCGTTCGGAGATCTTGTCCAGACTGAGGGGTCTGGCATGCCACCTTACACGCTAAGATATAATAATGATGACGATGTAGTTTTATGTCATCCCAGCATAAACCCTTACATATCAGGGATATAACAGGACGATAGAATATAAAAATAATAACTTTTCAATTACATCCAGTTGGTAGTTCTGAAAATAAGCGCGTTGAAACAAACAAACAAAGTCTTCAGCTTTATATATTAATTAATTATAAGTATATAGGTTAACATACACATCTGGACACATCTATTGGCCCATCTTAGAGTTTAGGTTTCAATGGCCCCTACCGAACTATGATTGCTAGATTGAACAAAAACTGGTGATGCAGTTTTAAACCTGATACATTTTACCATCTTTTTCTATCGTATTGTTTTAAATTTGAATTCAGAATACCATACGACATAGAGCTACGCCTAACGAATCGAATATGCGCCTGGTTAAAGGCAATTGCTTTTTAAATAAAAAACATGTTTTATCAAATAAAGGTTTAATTTAATAACGCGTGTTGCCTCCATGGGCATCTACCACAGCTATCATACGATTAGGCATAGAGTTTATCAACCGCTCTATGAAATTTTGAGGGATAATCTCCCATTCCTCTTCTATGGCAGTTTTCAACTCCTGCATCGTCTGGGCAACTGGCTGACGAGCCCTAACACGTCTTTTTAGCTCGTCCCACATGTGCTCAATAGGGTTCATGTCTGGGCTTCTGGCTGGCCAGTCCATAACTGTGATGTTCACATCCCGAATATATTCCCTGACGACGCCGGCCGCATGGGCTCTTGTATTATCATGCTTAAAAAGGAAATTTGGACCCACATAGTCCGCGTATGGTATCACGTAAGGTTCTAAGCACACACGAATGTACCTTACAGCATTTAATGTTGGCAGCCGTGGTCCTGTAACAACCTCTAGGTGAGTTTTGCCACTCGCGGATATACCGTCTCAGACAGCCCATGAGCCACCGCTATAAGCAACCCTCTCTTCCAAGCAGCATTGTACGAAACGCTCTCCCTTATGTCGGTAGCCTTTCTTCCTTACATCATTGCCACGTAACACAATTTTAGACTCATCAGAAAAGAGTACACGGCTCTAATCTGGCTGTGTCCAATTTAAATGACTGCGTGCGAAATGAAGGCGCGCTGTTCGGTGGGCTCGCGTTAGTTTGGGCCCATTAGCTGACTTGTATGGTACCATATCGCGTTCTTTTAACCTTCTCCGAACAGTTCGAGCGCTCACAGATACTCCGTGGAAGTCGCGAAGTTGGTTCTGTATCTCAATGGAGGTAAGGTGACGATTTCTCAAGCTGGTCGTCACCATGAATCGATCCTGTCTTTCAGTTGTGACCCGAGATCATGGCCTTCCTTGGCGACGAACAAAGCCGCCAGTCTCTAGGTACAAACCTCCGATAAACATTTCGGACCGCAGATCGACTTAAATTAAGTTGAGCACTCATGTTTCTTTGACTGTGTCCGGCCTGAATAAGTGCCACAGCTTGGGCGGCGACTTCAGGTAAGTATCCATAGAGTATTGATGGAACCTCACCTTAATGTTAAGAATAAGTAATGTTTGTTGCAAAACCAATGATATCAATCACTTTTTCAAGTATTAAATCCAAGTAAAGCAAATAACCAAGTTTTCTTAGTATTCGATTGTTTGATATTAACAAACGGGCCCCAAATTGTCTTTTGTTTCTTTAAATTCTGTGTTCGAAATTCAAAAAAGATTATTGAGTGAAATTGGGAATGTGCCAATTTCAAAACTGCATAAAAACTTTTTGCTCGACCTAGTTAATATAAAATTTTAGCTGGGGTCAAACGAAACTGAAAATACAAGGTGGGCCAAAAGATGTGTCCAGAAGTGTAGTTAACGATGAATGTACAACTATATAAACAGGTCAAGTCCTGATAAACTTATAACGTCAATAATTTGCTTATTATCTTAATATTTAAATAATAAATATTGGAGGATGCTCTCTCAGTTCGAAACGAGAAGTGAATTGCGTTAGACCTGACATCAAGTTTGAAACCATCATGAATGTCATTGTAAGTTTATGTATAGTTCTTGTAAATATTTAAAAAAGATATATTTTTTTTAAGTAGATAAACTTAATAAATGTTTTCTTAAGTCTTCTTCAATTTGTTTTTAAATAAATTTTTAGCAATTGAAATTTTTATTTGTTTTAGTTTGTTATTTAATTTCAACCTTTATTTTCAAGTAAGTACAAATGTACTTACTTATGTGTATTTTTCATTAAACATAATTCCAAATTATTTTACTTTTTATTGGGTTTTAAATTTTTTTTTAATTATTTACGGTTTTATTCTTCAGCTTTTGTAAAAGTCAAAGATTGATTGAATTATAAATATATCTTTTCTCTAGGTTAAGCCGGTAAACGAGAAAACAATTGTAGGTAAGACCACCTGATTGTAGGTAATCGGCATCGCCCATGGACACATAAAACTGTAGAGGCGTTAAAAGTGCGTTATCGGTCTTTTGGGGATTAGAAATTTGAGGATTGTTGGGGATTGAGGATTGGGGATATTGTGAACAGGGGTAATTGGGCATTTAGTAATTTCACTCAAACGACGTTTTTCTGTTTTCTGTAAGGCCGTGGTCTGAGGCAGCCCATTCGTGCTCAAGCAGGCTCCCCCCACACTTATTCTCACACATCTTGCACTTTTAAACAATACAGACATTAAATTATTTTTGTATTACGTATTACATTTTTCTTTTCAGTTATGCTGCGCATTCATTCTCACGATCGCGGCGCAATGTTCCGGTGAGTTTGTCATACTCTTCAATAAAATGTGTTTTGAAATATCTAGTGTTAATATAAATTTCAGTAAAAAGGACACATAAACGGGTATTTTATCCCAGAGTTTTCGACTCGGGATCAGTTCTGTACCAATACTATCATTTTTATTAATAGAATTTTCATGTCTCTTCTTCATTTTGAGGTCCTCGCGTGTGGTGCCATCTAGTAGAATATTTGTTAATTAATGAATTCTATGATTCATGCTTTCGTATTGTCGACTTATTAAAAATTGCCGTAGGTTTTTAATATATCTCAATTAAATGAATAGTACTTACAGATGATTGGAGTTAACAAGTTATTTGGATTTAACATTTACATTTAATTTTGACGAAATAAGTCAAAGCTTCCCTTTTCTATTAACTTTTTAGTTTTCATATCATTTGTATACTAGGCGGCTGATGTTATCTTTCTTATTTCTTTTCTTTTTTAAAAAAAACGTTGCCCCACACAAGGATTTTCTCCTGGGTTTGGGTGCGTTTACAAACATACATGTTCATACACAATGACACACAGACCCGAAACAACAATCTGTGGAGCACACAAAGTATTGTTCCCTGCAGGAATTGAACCCGCGACACGTTGCACGGCAGCCGTTTGTCCAGCCACCGCACCAACCATGCATTCAAAATCTTTGTATCTGTAGTGCAAGGATTAGGCCACTGTTTAGATATAAACCGACTGAAAAATTATAATTTCTTTCCAGGTGTATCCAGGATCAGAGTGGATCACTCAAATTGGACTACTCGCTACGGCTATGAAGACCAACAGGGGATTATCGCAAAACAAGATACAGACGGTACATGGAAATATCAATCTCTAAGCAATCCGGACTCAGAACCCCAATATTCTTATTCATCGAGAGCAACCAAAGAAGAGTATGATTCCGCCACTCAGAGGGCGGACTATCATCCGCAACAATTTGAGGACAAACAAACTAATATACCAGTACAACCGAACCAGTCTAATAGGCCGAGACAACCAACCAATAACATGGACCAGACAACTGAACCAAACGTTCCATTACAGCAACCAACCAATCAGCAAGCAAGACCAACAAATTATACGCCGAGACCAACAACATATAACTACAATCAGAGGACTGAACCAGGCGTTCCATTACAGCGACCAGTCAACCAGCCAAATTATCGTCATAACCCTACAACCGAACCAACGACACATCGCGTTTCTGATTTCCCAGAGCAGCAAGGACAGCGACCGCTAAATGGGAATACAGTAGTTACAATGGTAGATGATAATTCAAATGTGCTCGTGTACAACTCGGGTGGTCTACCACTTTACCAGCCCTCGAAAGACAACTCTTATGGCTCTGCATACCGTCCGATAAACCGACCTATAACTTACCAACCTAGGCCTGCGTATCAACCTGGACGTTTACCTGAACCTAACCCAACATACCGGCCTAACTACTACTCCTCAACATACGATGATAGTAATGGAGGCGTATATGTCAGCCAATCAGTGAATAATGGTGGTCCATTCCCCAATTACGCCTACCAATCAGTGAATACTGGTGGTCCATTCCCCAATTACGTCCACCAATCAGTGAATACTGGTGGTCCATTCCCCAATTACGTCCAGAATTATGTTAAATATTAAAGTCCCTTATTAAAGCTAAATAATCTTGTTTTAGGGTAAACTGCAAGTGTCATAAATTAGGAAATTAATACATGATTTATAAATAATTAAATATTAAACCAAAATGTTTCTTTTATTCACAATTCCTATATTTGAAATTACAAAATAATTAGACTTATTTCATTTTTATGGGTATTACTAAGTCTTAATACACAAAATGTTTATATTTACGTTGTAAGGTTTAACTGGGTATTAAATCACTCCATAGTATAAAACAAAGTCGCTATCCGCCGTCTGTCTGTCCCTATGTATGCTTAGGTCTTTAAAACTACGCAACGGATTTTGATGCGGTTATTTTAATAAATAGAATTATTTTTAAGGAAGGTTTATATGTATAATATATATACATATTGCACCCGTGCAAAGCCGGGGCGGGTCGCTTGTATACAATAAATATGTCATAAATAACATTTGTTTGCCTACGTCGATGTGAGATGAAATTATAATACACATAATTCGCGCCATAGTAGGTACTGTATGATTTCATATTTTGTCTAGTACTTTTAATAATGTCGTGGTGACTCGGAGGTTTAAGACGTCCGCTTCTCAAGCATGACGGTCCGGTTTCGAAACCTACCAACGGAACGTACTAATGTGACTTTTCCGAGTTATATAAAATTAAATTATTATGTTTTCGGCTTACTCACGTAATTATTTGACGAGGAACTCGCTGCCAGTAGCCGCGTCGCGGGTCGCGAAATGCTGCTCACGAATATAAGCCTGTAGCATGGCTTGAAACTAGTCGAGTTCCTCGTCAAATAATTACGTGAGTAAACCGAAAACATAATGATTTATTCAGTATGTCGAAAGTTACAATACAAATTA